TTCTCCTACGTTGAGCTTAAATAATGGTTTAGTTATAATATTTTTACGATTCACACCGTTAAAATAAATAAATACTCACATTCATTTAAGATAATTATTATCATGATTGTTATCTTTTCAGTAAAATATGTGACCATTGTACCCTCCCCGTAACAAAATTTCTGAGCGATATCGTGCAAGATATTTTTTCAAATCCAAGGGTGACCCGTTCTATGTTTTTTTCCTTTTTGGTTGTCGAATATATTGCTTCATGGCGTGTAGGACATGATGTATATAGGCATTAGTGCAAGGAATCTTACTGTATAATATATAAAATTTCGATTCCGAATTGCTGAACAAAGTATATGCTGATGACCTATTAAATCATACGGATTGATAACCACTCGACCGCACCTACAACCGTAACGTGTGTATTCTGACAATACCAGCAGAGTAGGGCCCAGAAATACCCATCTTTTTTTAGACCCCGTACAACTCCGAAAAAATTCCAAATCCAATTTAGTAGCTTTGGAAATCCCACTTAATTAATTATCACATGCAAGCATATATTTATGTATACCTCCGACTAACACATTTGGTAAAATACAAGATGAAAGATACACTTTTGCTGAAAACATCGAGGAAAACATAAAAGTTATTGTTCGAATTGTGGTACTTGGCAAAAAGTTTTTTGTTGACAAAAATTGTGTTTCATGGGATTTTCCACGTCTTATCTGTATATTGGCCAGGTGCACTGGTGCATGTCATGCAGCGCCACCCTTGGTGTCAAAATCATGCAACGATGCACACTTTTAGTAATAATTAATTAATTAGCAAAAAATTAGTATATTTATTCGTCTGATAATGGATGTTATCATAAAAACAGGCTTTAGGAATATCACACACTCAATTTGTTTTAACTCTGAAGTCTTAAAAAAAAGTAAACAGTTGGTTGAAAGTAGCCATGCGTGCTATGTTACAGAATTTCAAAGTGATAGAGTTAGCAATTTGATAAGTGCCGTCGTAATAAGGCAAACCTCGGTAACTTCAGCTCCCTACAAAGTTAGCCTGCATGTACGTTTTATTCAGATTATTTTGAAAATGGTCTATAAGTTGCAATGCACATAAAAATTACCTTTATTTACAGTTGGATAATCATTGAAATTTATGTAATTTTACTCCATCTGTCTTTGCGCTACTGTTACACTGAACGATACAGCACTTTCTTACACCCACATTTCATATACGTTTAAATAATAGAAATCATAATGATCATGTCTTATTTCGCGTATTTATCTTTCTTTTTGCCGTCTGCTTCTGAGAGTGTGCTCTGGATCGAAAACTAACGAGGCTTCATTAATAAGTATGTTGTTACATTCAAACATTTTACAACCGTTCTTGGCGCCACATAGTTCATTTTTTTACATTTGTGTAACTACAATTTCATAATATTGATACTATTTATGCATACGTGATGATAACATCTGTACATTTGACAAAATACTGTTATTCTTTCCTCAATTAAGCAAATGACAGTAATTTGGTACCCCAGGTTTCCTGTTTTCGCCACTACGCACGCTGGCGTCGACTCATCTATCCCCTCCCATCACCTGGCCAATATCGAAGTAATAACATACAAGAACTGTGTCGATTATTTAGTTTCTTTTTCAAGTCTTATCGGAGAAATCTTCTCATTTGCAGAACTTTTTAATCGAGGAATTTAAATAAAACAATGTTCTTCACTTTTGTTCAATCATCAGAGATAAAAAAAAAATTTTTTTTGTACTGTGCAGAAAAATTTCTGCTTGTTTACTGTACAGTTAATTAAGACAGCAGTATTATTTATTTCTCCGGGAACAATATGTCACGAAACATTAAAGTGATTGGTGTAATTTTTGAGAAAACGCAGCGTAAAGGAAAATACCGATTAAATTTACCTCCTTGATTTTAAAACTTGCGAAAGAAAAAAACCGTTAAGGTAGTTGTACAGGTACCGCAAGAGTCATGAAACTTTTTGATTTGTGTAGTAGAACGATCTGGCAACGTCGCTTTGCGGTCATGTGTGTGTGCCTGTAAGTGTGTGTTCAGAGCATCATAGAAGGAGCACTTCGTTGATCAGCTGTAGCAAAAGGAGAAGCGACTGCTGACATTACTTTAGAAATGGTTATCGATGCTTATAAACAAAGAGGCCTTGATGGCCTATCTAGTCTACTTGGTGCTGATGAAAATGGCACGATTCGAGTAACTAAAAATAATAAAGTTAAAAATAGGCTATTTAATTATTTAAAAAATAAATATTAAATATTTATTACATAAATATTAATTTATAACATGTTTATTTCATTTTTAAGTAGTATATGGCAATAAAATTGTTTTGATGTTCTTTGTATATCAGTTCGTTTTATTATTTATATATTTATTTATCATATTTATTTAAAATATACGTCCTATAACAACAATTGAAAATCTATAAGAGAGATTGCAGTAATCAGGATTTACGAGCAATCATATGTACCTATTTACCTTTCAAACCGCGCGCGTAATATCAGATTATGCGGCGTTGCCATATTTTCAAATAGCGTCTCACAAATGCACGTTCTTCACGCTTTACTATTTAATTACTTTTCTCACAAGTACCCTTGGAAGGTTTTGAAAGCGAATATATAATTGTCATTTAATTATCTTTCTACTGTCCAAAGGGCATCAGAACCTATCCTATATTAGCAACGATATGAATGATAATATACAGACAGCTCCGCGGTTTCCCATAAGACGCCATGTTGAATTGGCATGTAAACAAAAACTCAAGGCATGCAAATAATTATGAATATCTCCCTTTATAGGTACCCTCGGGTCACAAAAATTTAGATTTCTTATTTTTATGCATTAATCTACCATCCTGCAAAATATCATAATTTTCTATCCTATATTTCAATTTGCTGTACAACTACCTTAAGTACAACAAGCGATAATTGGCTTTAATTAATTTCTCGAATCAGCTGTCGAAAATCCGTGCCAGGTGTTAATTTCAGTTATTACCATGCACTCAAAAAGTTCCCAAAAACAATCAAAGCCATACGCCCGTGTAATTAGCTTTCAAATTAAGTAGCAAAAATAGGTACTTTTGAGGGTAAAACAGAGAGAGAAAGAAATACTTACCCCAAATGCTCAAACATTTTGATTTTAAATACCTACAAGTTAGTTTTATGGTGGCGTCGAAGCTTCAAAATTATCCAACAATAGTCTACAAAACTCAGAGTTTACCTAAGCAAAATATGCCGAATTCATTTGGCATCAAGAAATACTGAGGTCATCGACATAATTTTCAAACAAATTGCTTCCGAAAAATGATCAATTTAACACATAGACTTATGGAGATCGACAAAACATTGACTATAACTCCGGAAGTACGTGATAGACTTTAAACAAAATTAATGTACAAACTACTTCTTATAAGGAATCTATTGATGTTGTGAAAACAATATGTTGGCGTAGTGCGGGAGCCAGGTGGGTTCCCGTGGCCTTTTCCATTAAAATGGTCCCACCCAATTTTTTTTTATATATTTTGACCTGCTAAACACGATTTTCGATGGTGGCTTGCTTTAAAATTTGCACATCAATAGTTATCAACAAATTTTATAAATAAATTGAAAAATTATAAAATTTCGGTAAAAAAAAAATTTATTCGTATTCTTTGGCACATTTTAAGCAAAAAACATCTCTTGCAATTTTTCTCTAAACGTTATACTTTTTTAGTAAAAAATTCGCAAACTTTTGAAACATTTGACTTTTCGATTTTCAACCGTTAATATCTCGATTGTTAAAAAACTTTTTGCAACTCTGCAAGGCGTTGAAATTTCTTTAAACATTGCACTTTAAGAATACGTAAACTTCAGACTGGTAAAAAAAAATTTGTCTCTCAATAATTAGCTTTGAATCGCGAGCTTCTTGCTATGCTACCCATGGTCTGCATACGTATAAAAATACGATGTATACCTTTGACTTGCATTAGTCCACCCAATTTTTTTTCTAGTATTTTCATTAGTTGTACGAAATTATTAAGGGTGTATTGCTGCATGACTATCAAATCAATAATCATAAACAAATTTTGCAACAAATTAAAAAAGAATATTTTTTTCGGTAAAATAAAATTTTTTTTCCTATTCTTTGATTAGTTTAAAATAAAAATTATCTTTTAGAATTTTTCTCTACATGACGGCAGGTTTGAGGTTTGACGGCTTATTATTGAGAGACAAATTTTTTTTTACCAGCCTGAAGTTTACGTATTCTTAAAGAGCAATGTTCAACGAAACTTTAACGCCTTGCAGAGTTGCAAAAAGTTTTTTAATAATCGAGATATTAACGGTTGAAAATCGCAAAATTAAAATTTTTCAAAAGTTTGCGAATTTTTTAGGCTCCCGCACTAGCGGCTAAGATTTTGAGAAAATCGAAAGAAAAGTGATTTGCGATTTGCCGTATTCTGCGCATGTGCAGATAATAATTTTATTATTTTATAGTCATAAGATAAGGAAATAATTACAATACGTTTTATTAAGGAAATGAATAAGATAAATTATTTTTAAAAAAACCTTATTTTTGTAATAAAATCTCCTATGGCGTTATGGCGTAACGACAGAGCGATAGAATTTATACCGTGTTTTGTTTTTCATTTGCTGTTTGGGTTCACGGTTTGGTTGCCGTACTCGATACCTCGACTAAGTGATTCTTTGCTTTTCATATTATTGGATCAGCTGGTGTTTTAAACTGTTTTTTGCTTACGCTTTCAGTTATTTTGTCGATCACTCATTCACGCAGTCAGAAAATATTTATTTTAAACATTTTATGATTCACTTATACTTTCAAGTTTATCCTACTGATAAATACAAGTTGCGTGAAACTACATACCAGAGTGCATCAAGAATTTTATGTGCGCAACAATGTATTATGTTTTGTATAAGAATTTTTTTTCAAACTTGAACATTTTTTAGAAACACATAATTTTTATCAGAAAAAGACAACTCTTTTTGTTGTATAAATCGAAATTTGACTTTATTAAAATTAATCTATGAATCATTTAATACTTGATGTTAGACATAAATTTGTTACAAAAGCTCTTGCAAGCTATATTGATTTACAGTATATATTACGCTTTGATTTATTCATCAAAAAGCAATAAAGCTTTTTAGAATTTGATTGTACGTTTTATGATTATAATAGAAAGTATATGAATAAAGCATACATAAACGAAAGTATGTCTTTTAACGTACACAAAATTTTTATAATTTTTTTCTAAGAAAATTCCGAAATATAGGACAATTTATTGAAACATTGAATAATAATCAGATGATTTAACAATTCAAAGTCATCAATTAGTTTGATTTGAGCTCGAAACTCATAGCATATTGTACATCATTCGATTACAAGATTACAATTCCCTGTTTTTATTTTTGTGCTTATTTTACAGATTACGGTGTACATGTTACAGTTAATATGAGAAATATTTTGCTTCGAGTTTCATACTATTTGTTCCCTACCATTGAAAGCTCATCTTCTTAGTTGAATTCAGTTATGAAGTTGGTAGATTTTCAACTGCGTTAATAAAGTAGTCGCTCAATATCACTCTAACTAAATGCAAATAACTTAACAACTTTTAAGGCACAGCGGATCTATGTTTCCATAATCGTCAAAATAGACCTAATAGCTATTTTCTTAAAAAATATAAAAACTCTAATTTAGCATATTTGGATTAAAAGAAGCATAGGGTTCTAATTACTTTGAGGGAATCTGCTGTGCATATACTCTAGAACTCTTTGTGTAAAATACCACCGATAAAATTTGTTTTATGTATAGTATACAAATATGGTCCCAAGCGTCGTTTTTTTAGCCCATTAAAACCATATGCACGAATTCTTCGTAATTTATGTTACCCTGTGCATCTTCGTTACCAGTCAGAAGACTCTCCACTTCGTCGTCGCTTAGTTTCTCGCCTGGAAATCAAAGAAGAAAAATTCATGTCACAACACGAAAATATTAACATCAGAAAACATGAGTATTTTCTTACCAAGCGTTGTCAGCAAATGCCGAAGTTCGGCCGCTAGAATGTAACCGTTGCCATCTTTATCAAAATGCCGCAACCCCTCAATGAAGTCATCGGCAGTATCTGAGGAACGAGCTTTGCTTATTGCCTGGTAAATGGGTAAGAACACCTCGAAGCTAATCCTTTCGTCGGGTTTGTGCTGATTCGTGAATTTTTTCACGTCCGACTCAGTGGGATTTTGGCCGAGAGCACGTAGAGCATCTCCAATTTGGGCGACGTGAATTTTACCGTCACCGCGACTGTCGAACAGCTGAAATGCCTCCTGGAACTCTGATGGAAGATAAAATAATGAATGACAGACGATTTCCAAATTTTAATTTGTAATAATTATGATTTTCGCTTTCTTTTATGATTGCAATGATCCTTAAAGGGTTTTTTTCTCTTGATGAGAAGAATAATTCAATTGAATATGCTCCCCTCAATTCCGGTAAACTCGTTTATGTATAAATTCTGATGGATTACCTGTTCAATAAAGTACCAAATAATAAATTTTTTCTAAGAAAAATAAAATTTTAGCCATGTTTGATACGTTAACAATATAAGTACTAATAGTTTTGTGGTATTTTTTGAGAATTTTTGAATGGATGTAAATTTTTAATTTCAAAATATTTAAATAATGAAAGTGCAAAGTGTTTCTTGTGAAAACTTTTGAACAATTACCATTGTGTCGATTAATTTAATTAAACAAGCGATAAACTAATGAATTTACTAGAATTTTTAAGTTATCAAAACGGTTGCCAAGCTGCTTTTTATCAAAATTAAAAAATACAGTACCATCCATGGATGACATCATCCTGTTGGCCAACTCTTGATAAGAAAATATGTACATTGTGATACTTTTTGAATTCAAATTAAGTGAAGATCCAATTAAAATGAAGATTAATAACAAACTAAAAGGCACGGAAAAACAAAGGATTAAAAAACTACATGAATTACAGAAGTTTCAACAATCCAGACACTTTAAACACTGAGGTATATAAACCTATTGAAACATGATATGTGGTACACGAGAACAACTGTTGAAAACAAACTTTCTGACACGGTCACAGAAGCCACCATCCATGCCAAAGGTCCAGCAAGCAATAGACGCTTTTAGCTCGAAAACTGTGTCACCCTGCATCAGTGCAGCAGCAGCCCACTGATGCCAAAAAAAGCAGAGAGAAGGCTACAGTAGGAGAAAAAAAGGTGGGCAAGCCAGAGAACAGAGGGAAGATCTTTTATAGACGTTCACTTTTAAATGTCGCCCCATAAAAGGCGCAGTCTTCTCGATACTTGAAGGATACATGCATGTACATAATATATAAGCAACAAAAAGAAAGAGAGAAGCAAGTGCAGTGCAGACTCCAAACACAGGCGCGCAAAAAAGGCCCCCACGATATAAATATCTCATTCTACAAGATGCAGTCTTACTCTTGACCTCAAAATGAGTTGAATAAAAAATTTTACACTCATGTATAAGTTAGCCGGCCTTCCATCGCTGCAGCGCTTGTGCCAAGTCCTACTATACAAGTATGGATCATATATACGTGTACACAAACCTGCAGCGTAAACATCAACATTCAGCAAAACGTCGAGACAGACGACAGAAAGTAGTCAGCAGCAGAGAGACGATAAAAAAACAAAAAAAAAAAAAACTTGAGCACCAGTGCGACACATGATTACTCACCACTCAACTGGTCCTCCGTGTAAGAAGCCTGTGAACAGAAGGTCGAGAAAAAAAAACAGGTCAGATTGTTTTTGCCTTTTTTGGGCCTCACGGAGGGTAAGAGGTATTTGTATACGTGTAATGCATCGCACAGAGGGGATTGACTTTTGTATCATCAAAATCGTGGTATACACACACTCACCATTTTCTCGTTCGCCTTGCTTCGATGAACTGACTGCGTCTGCTGATGCTGGCTAGCTGCTGCGGTTTAACCTGGTACAACACACACGACTATATACTGTACAGCTCTCTCTATTCTAAATTTACACCGTTGAAATCGCGGTTATTTCCAGGCACACGTCTCGTCGCTTTTCCGTTCGGGCGTGGTTTAATTTTTTTTCTTTCCGCGGTGAAACTGGCAGGAAGCAGCGCAACACCACGTATCTTTTTGTGTTGCGATTGTGAATATGTGTTGTGTGAATGTGTGAATGTTGTGATTCATGTACGGTGGAAAAAGCTGACGTTTGCAAGGCCTGGGGAGGAAGGAGGGCTGAATGGATGATTCACTATCTCGATCATTAGTGTTCAGATACCACAGAGAGCTCAAGCCGTTATATCAAACCGTACAATTTTGTATCTGTCAGAATGTCGAAAAAAGTCAACAGCGAGCATCAAAGTAATGATAATATTTGTGACATTTCACCGTCAATTAACGGTTTAGTCACGTTGAATTTACTTGCTGTGTCGATACTGTCACTGGCTATACTATCTACCTATACCAGCAGACGATAAAAACATGAAAAGTTAGGGGATTTTTTGGGCGGGATTGGTTGAAGACGGATAAGTTGAAGACGGATTCTGACCATAAAAAGTTTTTAATTACTTGTAAGGGGAGCATGAGAAAGTGAATGTACTGTCGCTCAAACGAGACAAAGTGGAACTCAAATCGGTCTAAACTTTTTTGTAAAATCGTTATTCTTGAAATTAAAAATGTCAACCATACTATTAACTGTTATTTAACGGATTCCAATTAATAATGAAAAATGTATTTTTCACATATATTCTTTCGTATTTGGTAGATTGTTTATTTTATAACAATCAAATGTATAAAATGTAATAAGCTGGTGGGATTCATAATAAATGACACAAAATGCATAGTTTTCACAATTAAATATGTTTGTATTTTAACGTAGATTAATTCAAACAAAAATTTATAATACAAATCATTACAATGTTTTGCACTTAATAGTATCACAGTAGGACAGACTTCGAAGATGTAATTAATACAAAGACACGTTATAAGTATACAGAATAAATTTAAAAGTCAAATATGTAGAATACACTTGCGTTAATAAATTTTTGATTTTGTGCATCTAAACTCGAATAAATACATAATCACATACTGCTTTAATTGTTTCACAGCATTTAATTTTTGTATGAGATATAATTTTTGGTTATATTTTCGATTAAGCATTGCATACTTTAACAATTAATTTTTAGTGACTACATACTACGTTTACATATTGTGAGATTCTAAAATCCCTAAGAAAATTGTTTTATGAAATTTGTTTATTATTTATTTCGTATTGAAAAGTGGAAATGTTGTTTTATTTTTCAGTAAATACATTGATAATTTAGAATGTCTAAACATTAAATTCTTGTATTTAAATGTACAATACTTTAAGAATATTTTTAAGTCAAATATGACTGTACCTTATTATAGAGCATAAATATAGGTGTCATTGAATTTATTTTAAAACTCTATATTTTAGAAAAAAAAAAAAAAATTGATGCTTAGTGCAGTAAGTTATTCCCGCAACTCATTTGCTAATATTTTTAATTATATCTAAGAAGTATATTTTTAATTTGATTTAAATCTAATGATTACCATTTTGTAGTCAGACTATGTATGATTTTATTGTAACTAATTCTCGTAGCATGTATTGCTTCTATTTTGTATGTTGATATATTTTATTCAAGATAATAATATATATGTATATACATACATCTAAAGGTTTGACTGATTTATATTATTTAATATTACTATCAACAAAGATTTTTTTTAGGGTTTAATGTAATAAATACTGAACCAAAACGTTAAAAAAAA